GGGAGGCGGGGAAGCCGTGGCTGTGTGAGCGTGAGGAGCCGCCGCCACCGCCTCCTCCTCGCCGTCCTCTTCCTCTTGGGTTCCGGCGTCGCGGGCCGCCCTCGGCCCTGGAAGAGACGTCGCCTCCTCTTCCTCCGCCTCCCCCTTGCGGCGCCACCCCCCCCTCCTCGTCCTGCGCTGCGGGCTCAGGCGGAACCCGGAACGGCCGTCCGCCTCCCCCGCCCTCTGCCGCCTCCTCCATCTCCTCCTCCTCCTCTTCGGCTTCCTCCTAAGCCCCGGGCGGGAGCGGAGTGTCGGCGGTGGTCGGTTCGGGCGGCGACTAGCGCTTCTTTGGGCGGCGGCGCTTGGCCATGTCGTGTCGGGGAAGGTAATGAGCCGCAGAGCCCCGGGGTCTCGGCTGAGCAGCGGCGGCGGCGGCACCAAGTACCCGCGGAGCTGGAATGACTGGCAACCCAGGTGGGTGAGCCGGCAACCAGTCCGCCGCCCCGACCCCCGGGCCCCGCCTCGGGCGGGCCGAGGCCTAGGGCCATCCGGCTGGGAGGCGCGGCCTAGGCCCTCCACTCCCCCCCCGGGAACCGAGCGCGGCTTCCTGGGTCCCCTCCCGCCCCGGCTGGGGGAGGAAGGCCGTGGGAGGCGAGGCCTAAATGTCTCCCCTCTCTGCATTTCAGTTTCGGGGCTGGAGCTGAGACCCAGGGCGCCCGGCAAAGGCACTGGCCTAGGAGTTGGGTCAAGAAGGGTGAAGAAAGGGGCCTGGTGGTGATGGGGGACTTTCTGGTTACCACCCACCAAGTTGGAATTTGAGTTGGGGGATCCTGGGAGTCCAGGACCCTCTCTGTTACCCATTCACTTTTTGGTCCCTCATCCTCTAAGCCCCCACGTAAAAGAGCTCCTTAACTATGATCCCTTCTGTGAGCCCTCCCCCCCACGTGTTAATATTTCAAAAAACAAAACCCCCAACACTCCAGGGGTTTAATCTGACTTTGGGCAGGGCAGTTGTGGGGCATGAAATGAGGTTGTGACTGTTGATGAGGCCGACCACTCTCGACCTGGGAAATGAAGTTTTCCCCAAGTGCAGGGGCATTTCCTCTGGTGGAGAGCAATTCATACTTGGTGTTTTGAGCAGACCCTGAGAGGAGTAGAGAATTTCTTCTTGCATGGCGGGCATTTGGTCTCAGACCTCTTTGGAGCCTCCTTGGAATTGAATATATTTGGAGCATCAACTTTTTTTATATACACTTTTTGTTTGTTTATCATTAATCATGGGGCACACTTGTGTCTAATTTAGGACTGAGTGTCTAGAAAAACTTCCTAAATGTATATAATGTTTTAGGGTTAGTTGATTCGTGGAGTTTTCGTACTTTGAAGCACACTTGAATTATGATTGACCTGTAACTGGTCAAGTAAGTGTAAAGACAGTTTGTTGGGATGACTTTGGCTTCCTGATGGTTACATGTAACTTCAGCAGTGCTGGAAATAATTTGTTAAGATGTTAGAATGTAACATTTTAAGACTTGATAGAAAAATCTTTTGGGTGAATGGGTGGTAACAAATCTTAGTCTGTTTAATATGCCTTCCCAAATCTTATGTCTGTTGAGAACATTTGTATATAACTAGGTGACTTTAAAAGTTAATGCTTGACTCTAGAATTGAGAAGTTAAGTAGTTTAAAAAAAAATTGTTTGAAAAGCATAGCTTTACTTGTCCTTTACCACTTAGGGTTTGTGAATGCTTTAAGTACAATCAGTTGACTAGTTTAAGTAATTGTTATCTGTAATTGATATTCTTAGTTGTTTTATATTTTCATTGAAATGTGTGAAATAGGTTTTTTTTCTATCTAATGAAATTAGATGATTAATGAGCTTGAATTTGACAGCTCTTTGACGGTGGATTTTCCATTATTTTGCAGTATTGTGGTCAGCGTATATGAAAAAATTTAGTATCCCTTTACAAGACTGAAGTGCTCCTCACAAATAATCCTAGAGCTTTTGGAAAAGAATGAATTGTAGCTTGTAATTCTAAATAAATGGAGTAGTGAAGTTGCAGCCACCTGCTGGGGTCACTTGACTTCATTTGACAGATAAGAAACGGAATGGCTTATATATTTATAGAATATATACATGGATTATTAATATTATCCATGTTTTCTTCTTTCACGTGTTCTGTTTCTTGGCTGTGTGTGGTGTGTTTGTTGGGGAGAGGATGTATGCTTTCTTTGAAGCTATTCTCTGTAACAAAGTCTCAGAACTTATTGCCTAGGTAGAGGGATACTGTGAGATATAGTTCGTTACATGGAGTTTAACGTAACAGTTAGGATGTTGGAAATATCTGACTTTTTTGTAGAAGAGGGAACGGAGAAGTAAGGACAGTATCCCATAGCAGAACTTGATTTATTTGTGGGGTTGCCATAGTTGTTTTGTTAAACAGCCAGTAAAGAACCTTGTTTGCCAAGTTATAATTTTCATAAGTTAAATTTGAGGTTGTTATTCTGTCCGCTCTTCAGAAAGGTGACAGACTCCAGTTAACTGACAGAATAGAGGTTTGGTTTAAATGGATATTTATTTATTTTTCTAAACATCTTCAAATGCAGGCAGATTGCTTATGGTGCATGTGAATTATTTTGGTTTTTAGAAAAATTATTTGCCTTTCTGTACCATTAATTCTCTGATTTTATTTTTATTATTTTCTTAGGTTTAGACTTTTGAACAAGTGGGGTATAAAAAAACAATTCTTTTCGGTTTCTCTTAGTGTTAATTTGTCAGTTTGGAAACCGACTTTTGAGCCAGTCATGGCCACACGTGATCTTCACACATATTGACAGGAAGTGTTCCAGGTGGCTGAATAGACTAGTGTCAAATGGCAAAAGAGCAAGCCCATCCTTGATAGAAGCCTACCTTTAGCAGAAAGCATTTATAAAGCACTGGTTGATAGTCTTCCTTTTCATTCACTATACTCTCAATTAAGATTTAAGAATGATTAGGCAAAATGAATGGTTTTATCGTTGCCACTAGCCAAAGTATGTCCTTTTCTTGACTTTGTTTTGGAATATAATCTTCTAGTTGTACCAATCAAGATAGAGATTGGAATGACTTGAAAGTAAATATATAATTATTATATGTTTTAATATTCCAAAATGACATGACTAATTTGACATTGGAGTCAAATATAGATTAGTTCGGAAGCATTCAGGTCAACAGAAAACAAGATTTTACTTCTACACTTTGGAGTCTTAGAACTTTAACAGATTTATATTGGATGTTTTACAGTGCCCAAACTTAAAACCTTTCTACAGTTCTATAATGATAAAACTGTATATTAAAAATAGCTTCCATTTTTGGTAGAATGTAGACAGATTAAAGTTATCAAAAGTACAAGTACCTTTATTCTCTGTTGTCACAGAGAAAAACAGGAAGAGTGTTGTGAAGGTAGAAAAGCCAGAAACTAGTATGTCTGGCATTGTGAGAAACTGGATTTTTGAAATCAGAGTTGTCTCTTCAGCCTTCTATGAATCTGTATACTATTTGATGTCCACAGATACATAATACAGTGAAATACATTAAAGAAAAATGAAGTGGAGTTACATATTTTATAACCATAAATAGAGCTGTAGTAGAATTTAATGGTTACCAATTCTGTACCACAGATTTTCAAGTACACTATGGGGGTTTATCAGATAACTGTGTATGGGTGTTTAATTTGTGGGGAAAGTTTGTGTTTTCCATTATAAAATAAAACATATGCTTCATGAAACATTTGGCAATTACATCCTTAAATTGAACCTTTTTTCCCCTTCTGTTTTGGTTCCTTTTTAAGTTGGGACCATAACTGGACGGTATTTTAATAACAGGAGATTATGTAACATTCTAATGCAATGAAAACATTTGGCTTTAGGAAATATTGATCCTTGAGGGATTTTTATGACTAATAGAGCCACTATGTTTAAGGAGGTTATAGGTTAATATGGGAGAAAGGACTTGGGAAAGGTGAAGTATTATATGGATGTTAATTGTGATATAATTTTTGATATTTTTATATGTAATTAATAGAGTTTAAAACCTGGAGAGCCAGAGGATGAAAAACTGTGCAGTTGAGAAGGGAGCAGCAGGACCATGATATTGATCTATTTTGACAGTACATTTGGGGGGTTCTCAACCCCCCCCCAAAGTAAGTAAGGAAGTGGCAAATGCAAGTTGTCCTTGGTAAAAAATTTCCAGTTTGATTAGAAGGATGGGGTAGTTTTGAGGAGTGGTACAGATAAGAGATAGAGGTGCAAAGCTATATTGGAGCTGTATTGTAGGCCTTGAATCATAGCTTAAAGAGACTGCTAAATACCTGAATATTCTGTTTGTAATTCATGATTTAAATTCAGACAAAAGTATTCAGCCCAGTATGTGGGAATTTCCATAAGCAAAAGCCCCTCATGAGTTATCTGGTGTTGATTGAGGATGGTCTGCTCACAATTCAGTTTAGGTTAGGACTCTTAAATGGAATGATCATACACAGAAAATATAGTGTGGTCCATGGTGTCTTTTTTTTTTTTTTAAAGGTTTTATTTATTTATTTATTTATTTGACAAAGAGAGACACAGTGAGAGAGGCAACACAAGCAGGGGGAGTGAGAGAGGGAGAAACAGGTTTCCCGCGGAGCAGGGAGCCCGATGCGGGGCTCCATCCCAGGACCCCGGGATCATGACCTGAGCCGAAGACAGATGCTTAACGACTGAGCCACCCAGGCGCCCCCCATGGTGTCTTTTGTGAACAATGAATTCTCACAACTTTTTTTTTTTTTCTCCCCTATATTCCTTATGCTGTACCTTTTATTCCTCTTACTCCAGAACTGGAAGCGTGTATCTCTCACTCCACTTCACCCATTTTCCCATTCCCCCACCCTGCTCCCCTCTGGCAGCCATCAGTTTGTTCTCTGTATTTATGGGTGTGTTTTTGCTTTTTGTTTGTTGGTTTATTTGAATTCTCACTACTTTTAAATGTAAGATTTTCTGCCTTCACTGCCTTGCATATAGTAGATATCTGCTTACTTGCCTTTCTTACTTTTTCTAATCACCTAAAATAAATCCCTGGGGTTCTTTTCAGTGGACCTCCCTTTATGGATTCACACAAGCAGTTGTTTGGTGTCTCTTCATGTTGTTACTATTTTGGTTACCTGTCTTTGGCTATCTTAAAGTTTTCTCAGAGCTCATTTTTTTGGGGGACTACAGAATAAAACATATCACCTTTTTTATGAGGCCTAACAGTAGAGATTGCAGGTATTTTGTGGTTTAGTTTCTATATGAAATATTCAAGTTTATTACACTTTAATTTTTTAAAAATGTGGAGTGTAACCTATTAAGTTCCTATTTTGACATTTGTGTTTTTATACTGTTAGTTTTTCTCCATTTGTATTAGTTGATTGTGTATTTCCTCTCCTGAATTCTTTTTTGTACTCCACTGTTACTTTTTTTAG